TCTTGCCCTCCTCTCTTCTGTTTCTCCTAGCCCTTGAGAGCCGGTAATGTTGATAGATTAGGAACCTAAGGGTTCCACTACTCGTGTCTCGTCCAATTAATAATGGGATATCCTCGCACGCAAAAGTTATCAAATTAAATCACTCTCGGACTTCATGGTGTGCAGGTGTTTAAGGGGATGGGATGGCAAGAGAGTATCGAAAGCCGCCAGGCAAACTCAAGCGATTTAGCCATATCTCGATTATTAATTAATTATTAATTCATTTTATCTATTATTCGGGGTCTATAACCATATAGGACATGCGGTCCTATCTGGCTACAGGCCAAGGATATCTATACTAGAAGTATATCCTCTCCTATGCCTCCCATACAGCTCCTCTCGAATAGTGTGGCCCCGCACAAGTCCTCATTCGATCATACACTTAGAGGAGCCCTTCGCCCTTCACTTTCTCCCCTCTCCTGCCAACAAAATGGAGGCCATTAACGGGTATTTGGCGGGCGAGAAAATTTACAAAAACCAATAGGTGCGTGGCTCTCATAATACATAGAGACTGGCCAGCTGGGCGCTCCAGACTTGTGACTACCTCGGGAAATTCACTCTCTACCTTTCTAGCCTCATTTCAACTCTTGCCCGAAGCCCCTGCTCAAATTTCAGAAAAGTCTTGACAGAGCGTGTTTGCTGTACGGTAGCTTAGCCCAACTTCTTTTGTGCCGTCCAGGGCGCTGGGGAGTGCCGTTGACTCATCGACAAAAGAAGTCCTGGCTAATCAGCTGAAATCTCGGTCTTGGCGCCAACAAAAAATCCAAAGTTGAAAACTCCTCAAAAATGTCAGTCCCAGCATGCCCTTCAGAGACCTCTTTCCCCTCTCGCTCCACACCTCAGCCGCCTGTTCTTCCTCAAGTTGTTTGTCCCATTAGAGCAACAGTCCCCTATAAGCCATGACCCAGGCTTTGTATCTTTCGACTTGATTTCCTCCTTGCGGGTATAAATAGCGTCGTAAATATGTAGCGAGTGATGGCTAGAGATTAATGGGGCAAGCTCCTGTTTACAATTGGAGCAACTTCTTTATTGGTCGTTGAAGCGAGATGATGCGTGGCTAGAGATGGATTGAGGACTCAGATGATAATGATGAGAGAGGCATTGTCGAGAAGTTGTCAAATGGAGATGTGTATGAGGTTGCTTTGGACTTCGATTCGGATGCGATTCTTCTTGGCTATCCCAGATATGCAGAGCATACTGAGCGATTACACCGGCACCACTGGAAGGTGAAGAATTCGTCTTTGCCGGCAAATATTCCAGTAAATGGGTACTAATATCAACATCAGATGTTAGGAGAGGTAGTATAGCCTTGTCAGCAGCATGGATGTATTAATTTAATCTCCACAAGATTCCTGATCAATATACCTCACATATGTCAAGTTTAGATTTATTGGCAAAAATAATGCAACTCTTTATGATAATCAGTTGTCCAGTCAAACATGCCAAGCTGCCAACTACCTCGTATGTAATACATATGAAGATTCTCTAGTGTTCTAGATTTACCTGAAAAGAAAAAAATATACTTAAAATAAGTTCATGAGGCTTTTATTCTCCTTGGTGTAGGTAGCACATTCACGCTGCCTAAATGCGCAATGAGATAAGAAATTATTTCTCTTACTCCAAACTCCATATGCAGTGTTCATAAGTAATATCCAACTGGCTTGACTAGTTTTCGTCAAATATTTGGCAACACACACCTATTTTGAAAGTGTCTTAATCAGAAATAAAAATACAATCTGTTAAGCTACAAGAGAATGAAGTTCTTACTGTATTCTTACTGCCCATATCTTCAGATTATATTTAATAATAAAACATCACATCATGGATGATTTCCTCACAACACCATTCTTATTCTTGTTTCTATTTGTGAGCTCAAGAAAGCAGCTAGTTTATTTAAATGCATAGCCCTTTGATGATCACTAGCAAGCCAGATAAAAGCTGTAATTACTCAAACGAGATACAAGTCAGTTTAATTTTATTGTGGTCACATTGTCCCGGGTTTCATTTGAGCTACAGTTCTAAGTGTATATCTCCTTAGAATTCAACTGAAATAGACGCTACCACCTTTTTTCTTACTCTATCTTAACCGGGGCCTTCATGATCGTATAGCTCTCACATTTTTCGATTTATACCGTAGATAACGTGAAATGTTGTGATCAAATGTGCTTGGTTTAATTATTTTTGTGCCATGTATTTATCAAAGTTTTGAACCACGCTACATTGTTGTGAAGGATTAGATAATAATAAAAGATTCTTTTACGATCGAGGGCTAGGATTTCCGAGCTTGGACGAGTGTAACGGTAGTTTCTGCCTTGTGTGTATAAGTAAGCTCTTCTCAAGTCTGAGATTTTTTGCTTTTATCGTCTGGATTATACCTTGAGCCGATGTAGCGTTATCTACCCTTGTAAGCCATGTATTTGGCCCGTGAACATAGCTTCAGGCTGAAAAGCAGCGTAGCCTTATCATGCTCTGTGACCAAATACTCTGGCCAGTATCCTTTTATTGCGGCACGATGAATCTAGTTTCTGAGGATGTTTGTTGTCACATCTCTAAAGCGCGTCCTCACCTTCCCGTTAAAACCAAGAGTTGTTGGAGCCGTCAAGTGGATCGAACTTGTCCCAAATTAGTGTACGTCAATGCAGCCGTCCGTCTAGATACTCCTCAGCCTCAGCTCTTTTTCGGGTGTGAATATAAGTGTGGGTGTGTATATAGAATTTATAGACTATTGCTCGTGGTGCCTGTAGCGGATGTGATTTCTTGTAGAAAAGTGTTAATCTGGCTTCTCGCTAGAATCGATAAGCCAGGTCATACGGAATTACTTGAGGTTCAGGGTATCTGGTTGTGACCCTTGTTGATAGGCTAGTTGCAAGCCATAACTTAATGGTCGGTACCCTATGAAACAGGTCGATAATGTTGAACTGGCGTCTCAACGGCTGGCTCTGCCTGATATTGGCCTGGGCTCAAGTTTGAAACCAAAGGATTGTCGAAAGGAAATTAGTTCTTTCATTGTCATCGGCACTAACTTGGGAAAGGAAGAAATATTGCCACCAAGTTGAGCAGCAAGATTGAGTTGGATTCGACTTACACCAATTTCCAACTAACATTTTTGATGGTGAGATGCGGAAAGTTGAGTCTCAAGCATGCGAAGAGGCTGGATTGATGAGCGTGGACGTGCAAGGGGTTGAAACCCCGAAAATGTTGGATTACTGGTCACGCAATTTCCAAGGATTCCTCCTGCAAGCGAAAATGCTCATTCAATCAAAGAACAGTTTGAGATTTCACCCTGTAGTCCGTGCTTAGTGCCCTGAGAAACGCAACGATTAGACTTCCTCTTAGTCAATACCAGCCTGTTACTACTGGTAGAACTGGCTTTCGTTGCAATCTCGAACTAGACGGAAATTAAATATAATTCCGAATGGTTTATATCCGATAGGGATGTCGCTGAAAGGTCATCTCTCCACAGACTACGATGCGCTAGAGCTTTGTGATTTGCACAACAGAATGGGGTGGAACATCTTAGACATCAAAACACTAAAGCGTCAATATTCTGAAATTGTCCTATTATCCTTCTACTTTTTCTAATTGACACATTACAGTAGCCCAAGGCATCATCAAGTCTCATGGTGCGTAATTAAGTCTGATGAAAACCCTCAGTTATCTTCGGACCGTGCCAAGACACTTTCGTTTCCGAAGTTTAAATAATTGTGATGTTAGTCTATAGAATAAAAGAGGATATGATATGAAGATAGATAGTAATTCTAAATGGCACATCAGGCAGCTGAGTATCTTGCGACGGACATAATCATCATTAGCTAGTAAATATTTAAAAAATATCGTTAATTCCCTTAATTCACTGAAGTACTACTGAATCTTATCATTTGTGCTTGATCCTGAGATTATTCATCTAATTTGTTAAACTGGTTTGAGTTCAAACCTCGATGTCTGGTTGCCTGGACAGCTTAGTGTTGAGTTATTTGAATTTGAAATCTTTTACGTGACAGGAAGAACCTAACATCTGTTAAGACGATGTTGAGTTATTTGACTTCGTTAGGGATTGTATTAATGCAGCACATCGGGGTTACATGCGAAGTAATTGGTCGTGTGTTTCAACACTGCGATAAAATGGACTGGTTGTTGATAGTGACTTTCCTGCATGAAAAAAACACCCCCAGTCTGATCTACAGTTCGCACAGCATATACAAAATTAGCCATTCGTCCTGAATCGCCATGAATGTTCACCTAGACCGTGGGATTTTGGATCCGAGACCTTATTTACTGTACGACCTACTTATCTATGGGGGTCGCCCCATAATTTATAATAGATTTTGGTCTGAAGCCCCTGTTGCACGCTCTGGTCATCCGCAAGAGTTGGTCTTATACGCGCAGTCTTCGACGCGCTACAAGAGAGATGCGAGATAATCTCCCAATTTAAGGGTCACCCGTCCGCTTTTTACAGGTTGGCTTCGATCCGCCAGGTTACCAGGCTACCTTAGCCTAACCGCTGGACTGTCAGAGCTTTAATCACGCGGAGTTAAGTTCTGTCTCTGACTTGATCTACCCGCCAAACGAAGCTGGATTTGGTTCAGAATTGTGATAAAGATTCCCTGACAACCGGGTGGGCCACGAGCTCAAACCATATCGTGTAGGGCGCTTTGAATGAGGAAGGTGTTGAACTCGACATGTCACATGATCCGAAGCACGGACCCCGTGGTAGGCGGGGCCAACTTCTCTATCTCATGATCTTCCTCATTGGTTCGTCTGTGTAGCCTCAGTCCTTATATAGCGCAAAGTCAGGCCATTTCACGTATGATTTGGCAACAGTACAAATCACATTAGAATCTGCATTACCAGGCCGTCAATCAATAGTCATCCTGGTCTTGTAGCATCAATCATTCTATTCCTGCACGACTTGCAGCCATTTGCCGATACCTCCTAATGGTTCCCAACACCACTTATACGACATGGCATCAAACCGAAAGTCGCTAGACGCTTCCAAATATTCTGGCATCTCTGCAGCCGCTTTTGAGTACAACAATTGTATTAATAAAAGTAGTCACGACTTTCATCTGCCCAACCAGCTGCCGTTGGAGGACTATCCTTTGTTTCCTTCGGATTGGGACGAGATATCTACCTATGAGACCAACCTCTACCCGACGTCCCTCCTCTGGGACTCGCCCAAACCAAAGATTGAATACCAACCCCCCCCAAACTTTTCAACCATGAATCCGCTCACAACTGCTCAGCAAGAGAAACTTCGAAGCGTGGCCATGCCTCATAGCTTCCAGTATCGCGGTCATCATAGCCCTCACTCAACAGAGAGTTCCAAGAGTCATTCAATCTCCTCACCCGAGACTAATGAAAGCAGTCGGAAACGGAAAACGTTAGCAGAAGCCGAAGACGAAGAAGATGAGGACTCGAACCCCCTGGTAAAAAAAACGGCTCACAATATGATTGAAAAGCGCTACCGGACTAACCTAAACGATAAAATCGCTGCATTACGAGATAGTGTACCCAGTCTCCGTATTATCTCAAAAAGTGCTCGAGGCGAGGATACACTGGATGATAGAGAGGAGCTTCAAGGTCTTACACCTGCACATAAACTAAATAAGGCAACAGTAAGTTAACTAGTAATGCTATATTCTTAGCTGAACTGTACTCCTCGTCTTATGTCATTTGATAGCCTATTGTGTTATTGAAGATTCAATATGAAGGTCACAGTACCTTTTTCTGTTCAAAATAGAGTGAAAAAGTTATTCAAGTGCAAGAGCCTAATTATTTTTTAGGTCCTTAGTAAAGCGACGGAATACATCTGTCATCTTGAGAAACGCAATAAACGACTGCAACAAGAAAATAATGAACAGAAAGCGCGCTTAGATGCATTTGAACGACTATTTCGCCATGGATCCATGGACTTCCACCCGCCACAGACGGTTGACAATCCATTCCAATTCACACCTGAATATAACATGCCTGGAACTCCTCCTGTTACTGTACAGCAAGCTATGATTCAAGCACCTGATGAAACTCGCCGGTCTCAAAGCCAAAACCATCAAAATCCTTATCAGCAGCCACAAGAAATTTATGCTCAAAATCAGCAGCCCATGCTCTCCGCAGGATGGAGTAGTCATCCATATATGGGAAAATTGATGGTGGGTACCTTGGCAGGATTTATGATTATGGAAGGTTTCAGTGAAGTAGATCAAGATGTCGAATCGCCTGCTAGCCGAGGTCTCTTTGCTATACCAACAAGTATGCTAGGCTCACTGAGATCTGCATTCCATTCCTTACTGGAAATAAATCTATTTGGCTATCATGTGCCAGCTCTAGAGACTTTCTGGTATTTAAAAATAATAATGATTTTAAGCGGGATGCTTTACGCACTATTACCTCTATTCATCTACTCAACACCTAAGTCTCATCGCAGCAAATTCAAAAGCGCTTTTCTCGCCGCTGCTCCGTCCTTAGCTTCACCAATACAGGTACGGAGACAAGCATGGCTCACGGCTATACAAACTGTGTGGGTTCCGAGGCACAATTTCTTTTTAGAGGCGGCAGCACTATGTCTCAAAATGGCTAAGCTCAGCACACGTAATATAGTTGGCTCACAGGGCTACACATACTTAACTGGAATTACTGAACAGCGAGAAGCAGCTAGAATACAGGCATGGACTATTGCCCTCGATGCCCAACTAGCCGGTGGTGATGTCGAGGTCAACAAGAGTCGACTAACTCTGACTCTTTTGGCCTCCGAAACTCTTCCAGACACACCCGCACGACTCATGTTAAAAGCCTTGCACATTCGGGTCTTATTGTGGGAGGTTGGAAATGCCGGCTTTCATGGATACTACCTATTCCAAGAGTTTGCTGCTAAACTTGCCAGGTGGAAATGGAATAAGGCTAAACAACTACATCAGCTGTCAACGTATCTTAAAGAAGAGCAACAAGACAGTCTTCCCGATTACCTCGTTGCATTATTACAGCAAAATTGTGATGATGTACTTGTCGATAGTATTGGTCAACGTGCATACAACTTAGCCTGGAACTTCCCCACAACAAACAATACTTGCAACGAGGCTGACTTTATGGATGCCGTCGTCGACGATTTTGCGATTCGAAGCCCCTTGGACGCTGTCGCATCATGGTTTTCTTGCCTCGTTCTTCAAAGAGCTCTTTCTAAAAGTCTAGAAGATAATGGCAGCAAGACTTCGAACGAAAAGCTTATCATAGATGACTTAAATCTCGCGATTCGGACAGCACCAACCGGATCCGGCTCCCACATACGAGCACTCGTTGCGCGTGCTGTTTTGGTTAGCGATAAACGGGGTGCAAGTATTGCAGAAGCTATGCAATTTCTTGGTCCACTGGACAAACACGTTGGGAAGAAAACCTCAGCGCCCAACTTCATAAATACGAGTACATCTATGGCAAGCTTTCCTGAAGTAAAGCTTTCTCTTCGATGCGCCATGGCTATCGCTCACATCGAACGCTGCCCAGCGCCATCGATTCCTGAAAGGGCCTTACATGTGATCAACACGATCTCACCCCGAAATTTAACACTCCTTGGATTCACTGCAACGTTCAAATTAATGGAGAATATCAACGGACACAGTCTAGTAGCTGCCAGCTGTACCAACTCTCTTGAAAGGCTTGCGGGTGGCCTCCGTATTTGGGTTGGAGGTAAGGAAGGCGAGAAGAGTGGCTTACCTATAACTACAAAGGTTGAGATAGTAAAGCGCTGTCTAGCTATCACCAAACGTATTATTGGTATGCAGGACGCTGGATATGCTAGTATGAGTGAGGATGATGAAGACGAGAATCCTTGAAATATACACCAGTAATCACTTCTTTTCATTTAGTACAATAGTTTCATAATCACTCTCATCTGTATGCAAAAATTTGCGCAACATCGAGATTTCTAAAAGGGGCTCTTTGGTGTTGCGAATGGACTTACAAAGTAGCCGGTGAAATAGGAAAATGGGACCAGGACGGAGGCTGGGGGGTTACAAGGAGAATACTTGGGTTTGACCTTTCATGATTTATGTGATTAATGGTGGGGTTAGGCTAATGTCGATGTGCAGCTTCGAAGCTGTGAAAGCTTCTTACGATAGGTATCTCGGTTTCGTAACCGTTCCTTAAAAGTGGTTAACTCCCAAGGGATTCGGATAATTGGCAGATTCAAAGGAATGTGGATGAACCACACCACAATAACGCTCTCGCCACGGGATGTATTGCCTTCCGAGAAATTGACAACAACTCATGTGCCACTCCTTTCTTGTGCTCTTCAACTCGGCTCGGCTAGAACAAAGCGTGATCTTTAATTTTTTCAACGAAAGTAACTAAAGATTGTTGATATTTTGGAGCTCTTACACGTGCAAAGGGCCTCCTGTTCAATCTTGCGCCAGGGCTAGAGATAAGTGGCTTGCATGTTATCCGATAGCGACTTTGATGGTCCACCAGTTTGTAGGGCGCCTGCAATCATGGCTGGACAATTGTGCACTAATTATAACTTCGGTCATGAGTTTTCTTAAAATCTGTGACGAATAATTGTTTCTACTAAAGTTTTCAATGGCTCAATCAAATTTAGGTATTCTCGCTCTTACATTTAATTCTCAAACCTATTGCAAAAAATGATAGTTTACGCAAATAACTAATTCCCGTGAAGATATATCGGCGGTAAGTCTTATTACACTTGGTCGTCAGCAGAGACGAGCTATTCACCTTCCAGAAGTGATGGGACAGGAGCTTAGTATGCTCTGCATGCCTAGGATAGCTAAGAAGAATCGCATCAGAATCGAAGCTGAAACCAAACAGATGCAAACTTATAATCGACGACCTTTTATCAATACCGCTCCTACCATTATCCTCCGGGTCCTCCAGCTCACTGCTACCACATATCATGTCGCCTCAATTACCAATCAAGGGTTCATTCTAATTGTGCGGGTAATTACGCCTTCGTTATGTCATGTTGATTATGGAATATTTGTATCTAGGTGCCAAAGAAATACTAGTATATTGTAAACTTCCTGTTAGAATCGGGAATGTCAGAACAGAAGAGAATACACCAACAAATTTCACACGAGAGTTTGCTTCTTAAATCACAGGCTATCCCCTACTGTGAAATTACGACGCTCAGTATATCCGCACAGAGGTAATTAAGTTGCGAGATACAAAGCGCAAATTACTACTGTGCTGGTGATATGTCACGGTCTCGCATGCTACAGAACTTCGGGGATTGGAGACAATTGAGTTTCTAATTAGCACTAATCTGATATGCGTCTGGGCTAGATCAAGTCAGAGTTGGCTTCTGGACACAAAGGTCTTTGAAGAATTTGCGGGTTGGATATACTCAAAAATCTGACTCCCCGGGATATTATCGACGTTTACGTAACATGTAACATGTAAGATGCCAGATAATTTTGATGTCCTCAAAATTAGCTAGGACTAAATGGGTTCGAATAGACATCAAATGCTATAGATTTTAGAGCAGACTTTTGTAATTTTTTTAATAATTTTGTCCTAAGCTTAAGCTATTTTTTCCACAATGAGTCAAGGACCGGCGGAGCCGGCAGGGTTCCCTGTACTATTTCCTACAGCCTAACTCCTTCCAACCTCGTGAATCGCTGCCAAAGGTGCAGCTGATTAAAAAGAAACGAAAAATCACAAAAATCAAAACAACTACGAAAACCAGAAGATTCCTCCGTAATGGACCCAGCCAATGTGCTCCTCACACATTCCGTCGTCCGTCACACCTTCCAGATGACAAATTTGCCCATTCTCCGCTGAGAGCAAAAGATGAGTTAGCAGGCACTTTTGATCCAGCCGGTATCCTACTATTGGTTAGTAGATGCCCCAAAAGGGGACATCGTCGAGATTGCTGTGTCCTCAAACTTCTTCTTCAGATTCCAGAGCTCCGAAACCTGTTGCTTCGACCATCGAGACATCCTTCGCAGCGGCGATGATCGCCTCCTCGGCCCTTTTGGCTGCTGCTCGAGCTCGTGCCACATCCGCGAACTCGTCCCACCTAGATGACCGGACCACCTCAGACTTCACCCATGTGTTGAATCATGTCAAGCCCAACCGTCCAGAGAACCCCCTTTTGGCACGCCGAAGCGCAAATTCTTTCTCAGCCTCGGCCACCACACGCCCGAGCCCTTGACATCCTCATTGACTCCGAAATGTAAATGCTGTCCAAGATTTCATCGTTGCTCTAGCCTTGCACCTTCATATTGTACCGTTGGGTTGTTTTCGTCATTGGGGATTTGTGTAATCCCCTCGGTGTGTCTTCCCTTTTCTTCATCCTTTGTACATGTCCCGTTTCCATCATGACTTTTCTCATTAGGGCGTGTGTAGTTAGGTGACGTGACGAGTATAGAGGTGAGTCGCAGGCGTGATATCGGCTGAGATATAGATCGTCGCAAATATATAAGGAGTTTGAGAGATGTCGGATGTTCTAATACGACTCCCAGACAGACCTAGACCCATTCGTGAATCGTATGTTGGTGGTGATGAGCTTTTGTTAAACTTTGTTCCGTCTGTGAAATCTCTGCCGACTGATTTATCGACCGAAATATCGAGTGCAACTCCTTCAAGTCGAAAATCCATCAGATAAAATTCATCCCACCCTTTTCCGTGATTGAATCTCGGCTGTGGTGAATATTTCACTCCCAGGTTCGTAGAGGGCACCACTGACAGGTCTTCAGCCTTCGTTCTCCGCTCGATGTGGTGTATCCACGCGAGCTGCTATTTTTTCACCGGTCCGGATTTCTTGGGTCTGGCTTGGCAGATCCCGGAATCCGATCGGTGGGGTCCCCCACCGTTGCGGTATTTTGTCGGCAAAGAAAGATTCTTCAGGAGCGCCATACTTTCTGCGTTAAATCTTAAAAGAGCCTCAGTTTCCATTATGCCTCCACTTGAAGCTGAAAATATCACCAAGTAGCAGCAAGGACGCCTAATTGTCACAGTAGCATGATGAATCAGGAATGAAGAGGGTCGGCGCTACGACTGATGCTGGTGTTGAGGTAATACAAAGAAACAAATAAAGTATTCCTTGTTCATCCCTTTGGATAATGCGACTTCTTGTTAGATTCCTGCATCTTGAATATCTGCTGTCATATCTCTTGTCAACATGTCATCCAGTGACCCTAATTATCTTGCTTATTATCATGCCCCATGATTACAAGGTTCCACAGAACAGAAAAGGATTGAAGTCCTTACTGATTCTATGAATATAAAGGACTGCTACAGCTATCTAAATATATATAAACCTGAATAGCAAATTTGAAAATTGATTTGTTTGATATTTACTAATGGATACTAATAACAGTATTCGGAGCACACAGTAGTGAACTGCTTTATATGATCCAGCGCCGAGGCAGAGATCCAGATGAATGCTCGAAATCAATTATCCAAAGTGAGTATATACAGCTCTGCTGATATCAAAATAATCACTCAGTATATACCAGATCAAAATTGAGATGAGTAGATTGGATGAAAAAACCATCAAATATCTCTGAAAGACAAGCGAGATTAGCAGGAATTTCGGTCAACAGAGAAGCTATGATTTACTCAAATAGATAACCATAAAGTAACTGCATTAACTGAAAAAATGTACAAGAATGATAGGCATCGGAAACAGTGGACAATAAAATTGAACCTAGATTTTCTTTTGGTAAAATAACTAAACACCTGCAGAAACCCATTACGCAAAAAGCAACATTTTGTCAGAGAGGTGCGCAGCGCTTCACACCATCTTTATCATCAATTTCAAATCAATAATCTCATTAATAGATCTTCTTTAACCTCCTATATTCGTTTCACCTTCCATGCTACAACACGGCGGGTGTGGGTAAATCTGGCGGTTTTGACGCGGCTCAAAAAGCGACAGCGGAGCACAGATAGTTCCAAAGGATCATGACCTTGAAAGAATAGGGAATTACTGAAAAAGGTTAGACTTAACGTGATAGGTAAGATGGATGAGGATGACGTTAATGAAGCTGTCAAGGCGTTCAATTGTCACAAAAAGGCCTACATAACCATTTCCCGAATATCGTCTCTGATTTAAGAGGTTGTAAAGAAGAGCCTCGTAGATCCCGCACGAAGAGCTGTTCCGGGAGTAGTTTTGGGTATTTCGATACCCCGGGCTTAGGCGTCGGTCGTAGTTCCGAAAATGACGAAGACGGCGTAACGAATAAGAACCAATGGTGCGAAAAACCTACAGCTAGAGGACCTACTTTTAAGAGATAAATAGTACACCCAAGGTGCATATGCGATTTGTCAAATACAAAGTAGTGACACTGAGGTGGTCGTCCAGTCAGCGTCTTAGAGAGACGCAGTGTTTAACACGTATCAACCAGCCAACTCCAAAAATTTACGGCAAGATTTTCCTGCCAAGATTTTCAGTGTGCCACTGCGGTCAAGTATCAGGGGTCACGAAGATGTCAATCACTACGCCATCATTAAGGAGGTAGTAACGGCGACCAGGGCTCGGATTCCTGGCGTAGAAAGTGATCCAATACGGTGGTAGTATGACGGAGAGGAGCGCCAACGGTGTAAAAGACGGCCGAGATAGAGGATCAACCATGGTTAGCCTCCCATCTGAAGAAATGCAAATAGAAGTGGCTCAACATGGCATTGTGATTGATGCCATGCTTTACACTGCATAAGTATGGTCACCACGGGCTCAGTCAAAGTAGTGCTTGGACTTGAGCCAATGGAGACACGTGGAGGCGTCGTGTAGAAAGACTGTCAGGTGCGGTGAGTGCGCTAGCCATCACAAAATTTGGGACTGTCCGAGGAAAAGGGTTTCTTGCGCGAACTGCAGCAGGGAACATCGTTCGTGGCAGAAACCAGCATGTCTGACCTACCAAGTCTACAAAGGGATTGTGAAGAAGGCTCGTATGGAGATTCTACAGAGAGCGACAAGAATATGGAATGAGATACCCCCAGCGGAACCCAAGCAAATAGTTCGGACTACGGATAACCAATGATTTAATTTGGTCACCAGTAAGAAGACTGAAAGATTAAAAGAGGGCTAGGACGTCCGCGTAAGGTATATGAAATCTCAGTGATACCAATAATCCCCTCGACATCTGCACTACCATCGAGGCTTCCTCTGCGAACACTTTAGCGACCTACCCCGAATGATGATATTCCTTCTCTTTTCAACTTACCCTAACTTGAGTCTAATCGAAGGGGAAGTCGGTGAAATCTACGGAACGTTTGTGAAAGTATGGTTGAAAAGATCGTCCTCGGTATTAAGTCGGGTCTGCTTAGAGTGACAGGACATTGGGATTTATTTTGTTAAAAGCTTTTTCGCTAACCATAGCGGCTTACTATGACAAGATTGATATGTGAAGTACTTCAATTAATCCTTAGAATATTAGGCTAAAGAGAGAAGAAAAAGACTATGAAAGGCGGGGGATCTGCCCCAAAACATATACAAAGATTATGGGTAACATGGTTGAATTGGCGGGGAACAGAGCCTTTATGCCTCAAGCTACCCTCATCATCAGCATCGTGACAAATTGTCACACTTACCGTCTACATTTTCCTGTAAATAGATACCGAATAGGTTGTAGTACGAGATAAGTGAATCAATAAAGTATTGTGAGGTTAAAGATCGAGAAGGATTTAGGGCTGTTGGAGAGGAAGATATAGTGGTATTCGAGTGCAGGAGCAGGTGCACTGAGCTTTAGATGTAAAGCTGTGGAGTTGACTAGAGGAGCGACGAATATAGTCTTCAGAGCTATCCAGTTAATACAGTGAACTATAATATTGGAGTGACTTATGAGAGGACTTACCTTCAAAGATACTCAGTTTATACAATTAACTGAAGATCTCTGGAGGTTGAAAGGACTATGTCGATAAACAGGAATCAATCCTAGCCGGATGAATTTGGAAATAAACTAGGATATGCGCCCAGGTCCCAATACGACGATTTTATCATAGTGTGTGTATGTCTTCCTCACCAGTAGACCATCAAGCTAGCTGAATGTGAGACAACATGATGCAAATGACTTTACATCCAACATATCTTGTGGTGAGCGGCAATAGTAAGTAATATTTCAGAAAATATAAGGAGCGCTGTATTACATAATACAAATACAGAAACGAGAACAAGAACGAGATAGTGCCAGACCAGTGAGTGAGAGAGAGGTGTATTTATTGCACTGCCTGAGTTTTAGGATATCTAGCGCATTGGGCTTCTCTCTGGCCCAGGCCACACATTGTACAGTGCTCCTTGATTCTTTGTTACATGCAAGATCATTGATATATTGCCCGTCGTGAATAGCCATTCAGCTCGGTGTTTACCCGTGGAATCCGGCCACCCTTTCCACGGAACCATCTCCCCAAAAAATGAAAAGAGCTAGCAATGGAAACAGCGTGTCTAGAAAGAAGTCTCGAAAATCCTAAATCCCCAGCCAGGCGAGACCTAGACACTGAAATCACATGAGGTGCGCATATTTATCTATATCTACCTTCTTCGTAGCATTCGAGGCCGACTTGATCCAGTCCACCATCGCCGTATCGGGTGCTGGGTACGCTCCAGAAACTCATTGGATGGCTCTTCCTCCCTGATCAAGAGTTGGCGACAAGAAGGGCTTCGACCCTGCCATCTGATCTGATCTAGGTTAGCTCAATGAAAATGGTGTTGTGGGGGTTGTGCTTAAGGATGAAGAAGATACAAACGGCTAAAGCGGTTGGGAATCCTCATCGAAGTGAGGACTTTGTTACTCAATATCGGCTCGGCAGACTCTACAGTGAGAGCTGTAGATTCGTAGGGGACACCACTAAGAGGTTTTGAGAATAGTACCCCATGCCTGACCAGTTAAAAAGGCGCAGGACTGTTGAAATTACAAAATAAAGCCTATTACGAAGCGAGCTACGTATAGTAGGCCAAGCATGCGACTTTTAAATCAAGCTCTTTAGGCAATGTCGAATAAATGTTTTTGAAAATATGAAAATTTGTATTTCTAGCTCCCTAAAGATTTCAAGGAACTATGTTCTACTTAACAATAAAATTTGAAGGTAAATAAATAACATCAAAAATATACATATTAGTACATGGTTTCAATTGCCATTGAATCCGCGGGTATCAACGATTTTAAGATCCAAGAAATAAACGAACAGAGCCCCAATAAACCATTAATATAAACACAACTCCTTACTCCAATAATACACGGAGGTACCAAAACGCCGTGAAGTAGTAACTTTTTGCAATACCTAGATCGGCATGCTAATAATGATAGCTCATAAAACAGTAGAGTTTCCTTCATCGACTGAATCAAGTATTGATTTTTTGAACTTCTGTCGAGTACTAATTCTTGACAAGTTACCGACCAAATCATTTTGGGTGTTCTCCGATGCCTCGTCTTCTAATAATTCAGCTACCAAACGATTCGAATTTTGTCCATTGCTCCATAGAGACGAGGCCATTGTACTTGTTGACCTAATCGACCAACCATCTGATAAAGGCGAGTTAGTCACCGATGAAAATATTGAATTAGTGGGACTATCTGGACGTATAGAGGATTCAGAAATCCACTTCACCTCAATCAATCAGTAAATCAACTATTCCATAAACAATTCTCAGGGCCACCCACATCACGCTCTACAATTATTTTGGAATTTCCATTCCAAAGATTATTTGAAATAATATTCATGGGGATCATTGATTGGGCACGACGATTATAAGATTTGCCACTCGCCGCGGGTTGTTCGTTTCTTTGAGTTATAAAATTGTCCATTTTGTTTGCGTCGAAAAGATCTGTCATATCCAAATGTTCAGAGTTATGCCGCTTCTTCCATAACCAATTCTTTACATACGAGTTAGTCCTCATAATTAAACCTAGAGTTCGAAGTAATCACCTCACTTTCTATTTGACGATCTACTGGCGTCTTTACAATCAACATCCAGTTTACTGATTCATCTCGAAGACTCCTTCTGACCCAGAGACGAGATGATGAAAGGTCACTGAGCTCAAGTGAGCTTGACTCATTTCTTGGTGCCTTGATCATTTGAATAGCGGCAGGCTCAGCCGAGGTCCTGCGAAAGTCGTTTCTTGAGATCTTGGCGTCGAATAATCCTGGCGTCTTGCTCCTTGTCACATCAATGGGTTTATTCCACATCAGATTATCTGTCCCATCGATGCCTTCATCATTTGCTGCATCTGAAACCTTCATCCAGTTTACTGATTCATCTCGAAGACTTCTTCTGACCCAGAGACGAGGTGATGAAAGGTCACTGAGCTCAAGTGAGCTTGACTCATTTCTTGGTGCCTTGATCATTTGAATAGCGGCAGGCTCAGCCGAGGTCCTGCGAAAGTCGTTTCTTGAGATCTTGGCGTCGAATAATCCTGGCGTCTTGCTCCTTGTCACATCAATGGGTTTATTCCACATCAGATTATCTGTCCCATCGATGCCTTCATCATTTGCTGCATCTGAAACCTTCATCCAGTTTACTGATTCATCTCGAAGACTTCTTCTGACCCAGAGACGAGGTGATGAAAGGTCACTGAGCTCAAGTGAGCTTGACTCATTTCTTGGTGCCTTGATCATTTGAATAGCGGCAGGCTCAGCCGAGGTCCTGCGAAAGTCGTTTCTTGAGATCTCGGCGTCGAATAATCCTGGCGTCTTGCTCCTTGTCACATCAATGGGTTTATTCCACATCAGATTATCTGTCCCATCGATGCCTTCATCATTTGCTGCATCTGAAACCTTCATCCAGTTTACTGATTCATCTCGAAGACTTCTTCTGACCCAGAGACGAGATGATGAAAGGTCACTGAGCTCAAGTGAGCTTGACTCATTTCTTGGTGCCTTGATCATTTGAATAGCTGCAGGATCAGCCGAGGTCCTTCGAAAGTCGTTTCTTGAGATCTCGGCGTCGAATAATCCTGGCGTCTTGCTCCTTGTCACATCAATGGGTTTATTCCACATCAGATTATCTGTCCCATCGATGCCTTCATCGTTGCCTTCCACGATGCCTTCATCGTTTGCTGCATCTGAAACCTTCATCCAGTTTACTGATTCATCTCGAAGACTCCTTCTGACCCAGAGACGAGATGATGAAAGGTCACTGAGCTCAAGTGAGCTTGACTCATTTCTTGGTGCCTTGATCATTTGAATAGCTGCAGGCTCAGCCGAGGTCCTGCGAAAGTCGTTTCTTGAGATCTCGGCGTCGAATAGTCCTGGCGTCTTGCTCCTTGTCACATCAATGGGTTTATTCCACATCAGATTATCTGTCCCATCGATGCCTTCATCATTTGCTGCATCTGAAACCTTCATCCAGTTTACTGATTCATCTCGAAGACTTCTTCTGACCCAAAGACGAGATGATGAAAGGTCACTGAGCTCAAGTGAGCTTGACTCATTTCTTGGTGCCTTGATCATTTGAATAGCGGCAGGCTCAGCCGAGGTCCTGCGAAAGTCGTTTCTTGAGATCTCGGCGTCGAATAATCCTGGCGTCTTGCTCCTTGTCACATCAATGGGTTTATTCCACATCAGATTATCTGTCCCATCGATGCCTTCATCATTTGCTGCATCTGAAACCTTCATCCAGTTTACTGATTCATCTCGAAGACTCCTTCTGACCCAGAGACGAGATGATGAAAGGTCACTGAGCTCAAGTGAGCTTGACTCATTTCTTGGTGCCTTGATCATTTGAATAGCTGCAGGCTCAGCCGAGGTCCTGCGAAAGTCGTTTCTTGAGATCTTGGCGTCGAATAATCCTGGCGTCTTGCTCCTTGTCACATCAATGGGTTTATTCCACATCAGATTATCTGTCCCATCGATGCCTTCATCGTTGCCTTCCACGATGCCTTCATCGTTTGCTGCATCTGAAACCTTCATCCAGTTTACTGATTCATCTCGAAGACTCCTTCTGACCCAGAGACGAGATGATGAAAGGTCACTGAGCTCAAGTGAGCTTGACTCATTTCTTGGTGCCTTGATCATTTGAATAGCTGCAGGCTCAGCCGAGGTCCTGCGAAAGTCGTTTCTTGAGATCTCGGCGTCGAATAGTCCTGGCGTCTTGCTCCTTGTCACATCAATGGGTTTATTCCACATCAGATTATCTGTCCCATCGATGCCTTCATCATTTGCTGCATCTGAAACCTTCATCCAGTTTACTGATTCATCTCGAAGACTTCTTCTGACCCAAAGACGAGATGATGAAAGGTCACTGAGCTCAAGTGAGCTTGACTCATTTCTTGGTGCCTTGATCATTTGAATAGCGGCAGGCTCAGCCGAGGTCCTGCGAAAGTCGTTTCTTGAGATCTCGGCGTCGAATAATCCTGGCGTCTTGCTCCTTGTCACATCAATGGGTTTATTCCACATCAGATTATCTGTCCCATCGATGCCTTCATCATTTGCTGCATCTGAAACCTTCATCCAGTTTACTGATTCATCTCGAAGACTCCTTCTGACCCAGAGACGAGATGATGAAAGGTCACTGAGCTCAAGTGAGCTTGACTCATTTCTTGGTGCCTTGATCATTTGAATAGCTGCAGGCTCAGCCGAGGTCCTGCGAAAGTCGTTTCTTGAGATCTTGGCGTCGAATAATCCTGGCGTCTTGCTCCTTGTCACATCAATGGGTTTATTCCACATCAGATTATCTGTCCCATCGATGCCTTCATCGTTGCCTTCCACGATGCCTTCATCGTTTGCTGCATCTGAAACCTTCATCCAGTTTACTGATTCATCTCGAAGACTCCTTCTGAACCAGAGACGAGATGATGAAAGGTCACTGAGCTCAAGTGAGCTTGACTCATTTCTTGGTGCCTTGATCATTTGAATAGCTGCAGGCTCAGCCGAGGTCCTGCGAAAGTCGTTTCTTGAGATCTTGGCGTCGAATAATCCTGGCGTCTTGCTCCTTGTCACATCAATGGGTTTATTCCACATCAGATTATCTGTCCCATCGATGCCTTCATCATTTGCTGCATCTGAAACCTTCATCCAGTTTACTGATTCATCTCGAAGACTCCTTCTGACCCAGAGACGAGATGATGAAAGGTCACTGAGCTCAAGTGAGCTTGACTCATTTCTTGGTGCCTTGATCATTTGAATAGCTGCAGGCTCAGCCGAGGTCCTGCGAAAGTCGTTTCTTGAGATCTCGGCGTCGAATAGTCCTGGCGTTTTGCTCCTTGTCACATCAATGGGTTTATTCCACATCAGATTATCTGTCCCATCGATGCCTTCATCGTTGCCTTCCACGATGCCTTCATCGTTTGCTGCATCTGAAACCTTCATCCAGTTTACTGATTCATCTCGAAGACTCCTTCTGAACCAGAGACGAGATGATGAAAGGTCACTGAGCTCAAGTGAGCTTGACTCATTTCTTGGTGCCTTGATCATTTGAATAGCTGCAGGCTCAGCCGAGGTCCTGCGAAAGTCGTTTCTTGAGATCTTGGCGTCGAATAGTCCTGGCGTCTTGCTCCTTGTCACATCAATGGGTTTATTCCACATCAGATTATCTGTCCCATCGATGCCTTCATCATTTGCTGCATCTGAAACCTTCATCCAGTTTACTGATTCATCTCGAAGACTCCTTCTGACCCAGAGACGAGATGATGAAAGGTCACTGAGCTCAAGTGAGCTTGACTCATTTCTTGGTGCCTTGATCATTTGAATAGCGGCAGGCTCAGCCGAGGTCCTGCGAAAGTCGTTTCTTGAGATCTCGGCGTCGAATAATCCTGGCGTCTTGCTCCTTGTCACATCAATGGGTTTATTCCACATCAGATTATCTGTCCCATCGATGCCTTCATCATTTGCTGCATCTGAAACCTTCATCCAGTTTACTGATTCATCTCGAAGACTTCTTCTGACCCAGAGACGAGGTGATGAAAGGTCACTGAGCTCAAGTGAGCTTGACTCATTTCTTGGTGCCTTGATCATTTGAATAGCGGCAGGCTCAGCCGAGGTCCTGCGAAAGTCGTTTCTTGAGATCTCGGCGTCGAATAATCCTGGCGTCTTGCTCCTTGTCACATCAATGGGTTTATTCCACATCAGATTATCTGTCCCATCGATGCCTTCATCATTTGCTGCATCTGAAACCTTCATCCAGTTTACTGATTCATCTCGAAGACTCCTTCTGACCCAGAGACGAGATGATGAAAGGTCACTGAGCTCAAGTGAGCTTGACTCATTTCTTGGTGCCTTGATCATTTGAATAGCTGCAGGCTCAGCCGAGGTCCTGCGAAAGTCGTTTCTTGAGATCTTGGCGTCGAATAATCCTGGCGTCTTGCTCCTTGTCACATCAATGGGTTTATTCCACATCAGATTATCTGTCCCATCGATGCCTTCATCGTTGCCTTCCACGATGCCTTCATCGTTTGCTGCATCTGAAACCTTCATCCAGTTTACTGATTCATCTCGAAGACTCCTTCTGACCCAGAGACGAGATGATGAAAGGTCACTGAGCTCAAGTGAGCTTGACTCATTTCTTGGTGCCTTGATCATTTGAATAGCTGCAGGCTCAGCCGAGGTTCTGCGAAAGTCGTTTCTTGAGATCTTGGCGTCGAATAGTCCTGGCGTCTTGCTCCTTGTCACATCAATGGGTTTATTCCACATCAGATTATCTGTCCCATCGATGCCTTCATCGTTGCCTTCCACGATGCCTTCATCGTTTGCTGCATCTGAAACCTTCATCCAGTTTACTGATTCATCTCGAAGACTCCTTCTGACCCAGAGACGAGATGATGAAAGGTCACTGAGCTCAAGTGAGCTTGACTCATTTCTTGGTGCCTTGATCATTTGAATAGCTGCAGGCTCAGCCGAGGTTCTGCGAAAGTCGTTTCTTGAGATCTTGGCGTCGAATAGTCCTGGCGTCTTGCTCCTTGTCACATCAATGGGTTTATTCCACATCAGATTATCTGTCCCATCGATGCCTTCATCATTTGCTGCATCTGAAACCTTCATCCAGTTTACTGATTCATCTCGAAGACTTCTTCTGACCCAGAGACGAGATGATGAAAGGTCACTGAGCTCAAGTGAGCTTGACTCATTTCTTGGTGCCTTGATCATTTGAATAGCTGCAGGCTCAGCCGAGGTCCTGCGAAAGTCGTTTCTTGAGATCTTGGCGTCGAATAATCCTGGCGTCTTGCTCCTTGTCACATCAATGGGTTTATTCCACATCAGATTATCTGTCCCATCGATGCCTTCATCATTTGCTGCATCTGAAACCTTCATCCAGTTTACTGATTCATCTCGAAGACTCCTTCTGACCCAGAGACGAGATGATGAAAGGTCACTGAGCTCAAGTGAGCTTGACTCATTTCTTGGTGCCTTGATCATTTGAATAGCGGCAGGATCAGCCGAGGTCCTGCGAAAGTCGTTTCTCGAGATCTTGGCGTCGAAAAGTCCAGGTGTCTTGAGACTCTTGACGTTATACGGTGGATTCCACATTGTCCGTGAGTAGCTGGCGTCGGGGAAATATTGATTATAGGTTAGCTCTATTTCCTTGGAGACCGATAACGTGTTGATTTTCATGCCAGTTGATGGTTGAACTGAGTTAGAATTTTTTATGGACTTGTGAGAATAGGCTGTCACGTCGTTGACTTTCTCAGCTGTACTCCGCATGTACCACATTTTATTGAACTTATCGCCAGTACCACTGCTCTCCTTGGAAGATTTGGATGTGAACGAGTCTAGAGATAAATGATTTTTGAATCTCTCGTGATTCCACAATGTATTTGACTGAAGGGTGGGAAGATCTGTTCGTTTGTATACTTTGGTCCGTGGAAAATTATTAATATTTTGAGATAAATTTATATTCCAAGCATCAATAGAAGGTTGAGTTAATCCATAGTGAGGTTCAATATTTGGGATCTGCTTTTTCCAAAGTTGGGATTCAAAGGAATTTTTATTCCTAATAGATAATGGCTGAATTGGTAATTGGGATACAAAATTCTCCAGTCGTGGATTCTCATTTTGTTTGAGCTCATTAGATGTTGTGATTGCATTGGTTTTTCTACTTGGCGAAAATTCATCTTCGCTATCCAAAAGATAATCTTGTTTTATTGAATATTGATTGGTTTTTAATAGGCATACAATTCTCCTTAGTGTATTTTCATTAGAGACTTCGTTTTGACTAGAGCTTAGCTCTTGGTTCTCATTCTGCAAAAAGTTATATTCATTTTCAAGTCTTTCAGATCCTAATATTGGAGTATTAAAATCATAAGGGTTTTCTGTAGATGTCAAACTGTATATCTTAGTCTCTGATTCGTACTCATTTTCTTTTGAAGTTTCATTCTGTAATATTAGAAGGGGAGTACTCATTTCTTTGGATTCCGTTGTCGCTGGGCTCCAAAGATTTGGATGGTATTGTTCAAGAACCTTCGATCGATTTTTTGACCAAAGCTTATGGCTAACGATGGACAGTTTATGTTTATTGTATCGCCGTGGAGGTCGGAGGGACTTTGCTGGAGGATCATCATTTGTACAGATTATTGGTTCGGATGGGGGATTCCACAAACGTCCAAGCGCCCTGTATGTTGAATGTGTCGACGCTCTCCACATCATAAAACTAGTTTCCCTTAAATGGGAGATTTTTTGACGAGGAGTTGCTTGATGGTATTCAAACTCAGAAGTAGTCTCAGAATCTGATTCGCTGCTTTCTGGTGGCGTTGGATTTCCTGCTTGAATTATAGGGGTAATTGCATAACTAGAACTTCTGCGATGAAGATCAGTGTATGATTTTTGAGTTTCTGCTAGTCGACGCTGCCATGCACTAATACTAGATTCTTGAAGTGTGGGGGAAATTAAAGATTCAATACTTATATTACTACGTCTTGAATCATTGGCTGTGTAAAATGATTCAGTTCGTTGGGATAAATCGTTTTCATATAAGGCCATGGTAATGCCCGTAGACCTACGATCTAGGTAACTCTGCATCCGTAACCACTGGTCTGACTGTTTCTCCATCTCTTTTTCGATATTCTCTATTAAACGAGAATCATTATTGCTAGAGGGTGAAATATTTGTTGGAAGTTCCCGGAGAAGGGATCCAGTCGAGCTACGAAATATCATCCTTGCTTCGAGTAGATCGGCCTCAATTTTTACAATCTCTCGCTGGGGGGAGTCAATTGGAGGAGAAGGCTCTTGATAATTATTGACTTTGAGTGATTTATCTTCTTGATCAAAGATCAATGGTGGTGGAAAATTCTGCTTTTTGGACATTGATAGTCTATTTCCCGAGAAAGTTGCCCTAGGATTCCGCATTCGCTGATACTCGTAATTTCGCATCTCAGATTCCATCTCAGATTCGTAGAGATTGTTAAATTTTTTGTTTGAATGCGTAGGTCTATTGCTACCTTGAATCTCTTTCATGAACGATTGACGAGATTTTTCTGATTCCAGCATAACAGTGACAATTTCATCTTTCTGATCGATACTACTTGGAATGGATTCTGAATCGAGCATAACCGTTACCATCTCATCATAGTTAGTCTCCTCTTCAGAAGAAACAAGAGAGCTCTCATCTATTTTGTGGAATAATTTGTGCGAAGGATTAGAATTACTTCTTTTATCATAATTGTAAGGTTTTTGGTCTGCCGCAAATTCCAAATCACTTAAATCAACAGAGGTTGCATCGCTTATAGTAAGTGAGGGTGTCTTAGCCCGTCTTTCCAGAGTTTTTTTAGAGTCAACTGCTTGGAGATTATCGGAAAAAGGGAGGTATGATGATTCAGTATCCATAGATACCGAAGCAGAACTTGGGGCGTATTTCATATATATATCTGAGCTAAATTCTTTGGCCGGTGATTTACTAGCTGACCCATATGGAGGTCGTGAAAATTCAGGAATGGCTTTAATATCATAGAAAGAATTTTCTGTTGGTGTTAGATCTGAGTTTTTTTCCGGAGAAGGTTTTGAAATTGTAACTGAATCCTGGGTATTCTTTTTTAGAGCATGGTTTAAAGACGGAAGCGATGAATGGCGTTTATGATTTCTTTTTGAATATTGCGTCTGAGGAGGTGGTGGAAATAAATATCGAACCTTTTCTTCGTGTGTCATGATGGCACTGTCTTCTTGCAACAATCGCTTAAGGTTGGCAGCGCGGGCTGGTAATGGTGGAAGAGGCGGTAGGTCATTGGGACTACCTAAAGTTTGATTGCTCATTCCTATTCCATAGTGATATGTATTGACTGATTTACTACGTCTACGACCTATTCCATTCGCTCTATCCAAGTTTCGCTTGATTGGCCGAGGACGATGTATAATAGATGTTGTATAATCTGGATTTATTCTCTTTGAAAATTTACCATCAGTATGGTAGGGCTCTTCTACAATAGTTTTCGGTGCAGGGACTTGCTTCATAATATTTTCAACGACTTCCGGATTGTCATAAACAATATCGTTTAAAAAAAATACCCTTTCCTGACCTTTCATTCCCGCCGATGGAAGCTCGATCCTTCCCGAGGATTGTGGTTGAAAATCATTATCGATAGAAGTTTTCCTGATGAATTGATGCCGTTGTCTAGCTTTGGTCTCATTTACAGCCTTGTAGGAATTGATACTTAAACGCGGCGATCTTCGACGAACCTCATCACGATTAATTTGGACAATAGATGTCGAACTACCGGTCGAACTACCAGCATCACTGCTACAGTCAGAACCTGGGCTTAAATTCTGTTCTTGAAAGTTTGAAAATTTTGATTTCAAACTTTTGAATGGTAGTCTAATGTCAGCAACGACCTCAGAGTCCTCAACCGATTTAGGAGTGAGAATTTGCTCTCGAAAGCTGTAAATTTTTTTGGCTTCCTCTGGGCTATAAAGTTCTGTCGCTAACGTTGATGGTGATTGCGAAATTGATTTACTAGCGATTGGCTGAAATTTAGCAGCTGCTGCCTCTCTACGCTTACGATCATTTGTAATTGCCTGATGTAAATCGATGGTGGGAATCCGGTTAAAAGGTTGGATATTGCTCTCATCATTATTGGATATTATGGGTTTTGAGATTGGAAGATTTCGAATGCTAATTTTTTCTGAGCTTGACTTAATATTCCACTTGAATCCGGTTCGTTTTTGAGAAGTAGTTACCAGCGGAGCTGGTGAAGTTATTGTAGAATATTTTGGACCTAAGTCTGAGATAATTGCAGGTGCCATAGCAGCTTGATTATCGACTTGCGAAGAAGGAAAAATTCCACTTGAGCCCCTATAGCCCGGTGCTTGATTCGCTGAAAATTGATATTCATCTCCTTCAACAAGTTTTTTGACGGATTCTTCATTTAATGGTACCACTGTCATATTCTGAGCTCCAGAGGAATCAAATACATCTCTATCAGATAGATTTCTAGGGGTAGCTTCGGAGATTTTAGCTCCACGGCTAGGCTTAAATGGAATTGGAGAGTCACGTGGAGTGTTGGATGGATTGACGACATATAAATTAGGACCTCTTAGGTATCCTGATGCTGGGGATCCTATCAAAGCAGTTGGGTTGCTTGACTCTTGAGATGGTGGAGTAGGACTCATGAAAGGTGATGAAGCTTCTGAGGTCAATGTATTTTTCTCACTAAAACTTGCCAAAGGATCTGAAAATATAATAGTGACTCCAATGAGAAGTCCAAGTGTTGATGCGGGAAGTACCGTTTTGATAAGGAAATTAAACGATGAAAACCCTAATATCATCGGTGCACTACTGCCAACCCAAACCACAAATCCCAAGAGGACGAAACAATAAGCTCTTATTTGAGCCATATTCGGATTAAAACTGCTGTTGCCTCTATTTCGCCGTAGCATCATAACCAAAGATCTGATAATAAGAACCCAAATTATAAGACTATCTAGACCCATGACGACAATCGAAATCATAGGTGTCGTTCTGCGCGCAAGGCACGTGGGCCTAAAGTCTGGTCGAGTAAAGCCTAGGAATACACCGCCAGCAATTATCCTAACGAATAAAGATCCCTGTAGAAGTAGATGAACTGCTGTAAATTTCGATCCAGAATTTAGAGACCATAGTAAGTATTGCTCAAAGGACACTTTTGCTAGCTGGTCGAACGCCGTAGTGAATATCTGGTTTATTTGGCAAAAGAGTACTGCCCGTACTGGTATGAGTAGATCGACAAATTCTACTTTTGCCCACAGGGCTGCGAATAGAAAGAAAATAATGAGGACCAGCCTCCGGCCATTGCGGGAATTGCCCGATCCATAAGTATTATACGATAAAAATGCGGCACCTACCGCCAAAACGGTCACGGAACCACTATATTCTGTTAGCCGTAAGGTACACCCCAATTATTCTGAGGCTATACATACAACGCAAAAGCTGCCGGTAAAGTCTGAGCAGCATTTGAAATTGCCATATTAGTACAAAACTAGTCACCGTAAATTGATAAACAGAAGAATGAACCCCAATTTACAGGTATTATTAGGAATAGAAATGAAGCATCGAAAACATGTTACCAGATCGAATGCCGAAATTTTCGAATATGACTACCAGCGAAGAATTTGGGCTGCTTGTACTTGGAAATCGCATGGACGGGACGAATGGAAGTGTGTTAGGAAAGTGGATAATGGCGGGCAGCCTCGAGACTTGGAATCAATCCCTTGCAAATGATCACAGTGTATAGTAGCTTAACGAGACGAACTAGCTATCTGTCTGCGGCTATTCAAACATCGATTGTGGGTACTGACGATGACAAAGTCGGAGACATTCCTAGGAGTTCCCATACTCTTTTCGGGTTTCATCGTGATCATGGGTATATAAAGTACAGATGGACTCTCCTTGCCGAAGTTATTCTGCTGAAACCAACACGGGTTTCGACTATCGTGCGTCCGCCCTTAGCATTGGGGGATCTCGAGTTGGACGGTCGTAGCGACACGCGCCATCTTGCCTGTGACAATTAGAGCATATATTTTCGAATTCTGCACACTTCACATTCGGATTCTTTAGTATTGTTTGACCAGAATTCTAATCCAACAAGAATGTTCACACATACAGCTGAACGGCGAAGTGTTGCTGAGGTGGTTGATCATCGGTGAAGATAGTGAAACTCGGGGCCGAGCTTTTAGGGGTAGCTTTCGAAACAACGACGGAATTTTTTAAGAATACTTCTCTTTGAAGGGGTATTTTACCGCTAGCATCCACAACCATTTCTTACTGCTAGAGCTGTGACAAATATCGATATCATGATTACGTTCTTCATAACCACAGTGAGCATCCGAACAATACGGTCATGTGACTCATATTTTCAGGTCCCTGCGTAGTCTAGTCATGCAACTGAACTATGTATCTTTGAGAGGCCAGGAATTAATTTCAATCAGCATGATCTCATTCCATATCTTGCGTGCCAAAATTACCCTCGCTCAGGTTTCAAAAAGAAGCTATTCAGTGTAACTATTTTAAACTTGAAAATGTCTGCCCACGTCTATTTATTTCGGAAGGAACTGTGTTTTAACTACAGCGGATACTTTGATATATGGCTGCAGTTTTGCTTGATCGATCACGGTATTTTCAACTTAAGTCTAATTTTGCTTTGTTGAGATTAAGGAGCCCATTTTTGCAATACTTTCCATGTCTTTACCCTGCTAAAATTAGGATACTTAGTCTTGAGACGTTAGCAAGCTTCTAATCCCAGGTGTAGTAGATAGTCCCTCCGTTTCCTAATTTATCCCGAACATATGTAATTTTCGAGGCAAAAGAGCTCCACAAGACGACAAACCACGACTGGTTGTGTGAGGCACAAATAATCTTGAGTTAGGTCCTGCTCAGGTACCTTCGGGGCAGCTTTGTGGAATGGTGAAGGCGAGCTTTTCTTTGCTCCACACATTTCACCGATTCATGAGCATAATCAAAGGTGGCCCAATTGACAGAGAGGATGTTGTACCTAATTTCACCTCGCCAGCTACCTCTTCACTAGTCTATAGATTATACTCGGTCGAATCACAATAGCACTAGGTTGCGTGTCATTTCCAGGGACATATGGAGCCACATTGTCACTGAGGCCGTTAAAAATGCTGATGATTCCATATATATGCAACATAATAGTGACACTCGCAGCAACTAAGGTTGGATATTAGCTTTTATCTATCTACTTTCGAAATTAACATAGTTGCCAAACCTGACAAGGGCCCAAAGCTGTCTAGCGATTCAAATACGAAGTGAGCACATGGGGCTCAACTCGTATTTATACAGAAGAAAAGTACCCAGAGTCTACAGTCCAAGCTGTCCATGTAGCTACCAATCGCAGAACCCCGAGCACATGATTATGTCCTGCCCTCGATGGTCATATAGAAGAGGAGAGATCTGGAGACTAGCGAAAGATCGGTCCTACGAAGCTATGCTAAGCAATCATAGAGATATCAAAAGGATAACACGGTGGATCCTAAATCATGGTTGGATAAACAATTCCAGATGACAAAGGCGCTCGAAATGCTGCTGGGGGAAAGGAACAGGTCATGCCTTTCTTGAGGTCGATGAAGCTGATGTGATTGGCTTAGATGGAGGGCACTAAAGTGTATCTGCGCTTCCTAAAGGATACATTATAATAAACATAGAAATAAAGCAGGAGGTTTGGGGGGTTTTCACCAAAAGGTTTCCTCCCATGTAAATTATAAAGTATGATAGACACCTGCATGGGCCCATAGAGCGCCAAATCAAGATAATGAAACCGAATCAGCATAGTTGCCATAATATTTTTGTTATATTTTCACACTATTAACACGGTCATTTTATGTTGGGGTAATATTTATCCGATAACTCTTATTCATCTCTCGCTCTAGAATTTCAACGCAGACGAGTCTCGAACTAGTTTTACAAAAAAATTCACTAGCTTTAATTAAAAAAAACCTTGAATTAATGTGATTAAAATATATGTAGCGTATGGCACATAGAAAAAAAAACGGACATATGTAACTATTCTCGCACATACAAGCGGGCGTTAATTAATTATTGGGGCCAGAAAATAAGTATCGTGGAGATATGCGCCCGCTCAGAATCATGATCAGTAATAGGACGAAACTCAACACCTGTCAGTGGTGTTCCCTACGAACCTCCAGTTCTCACTGTAGAGTCTGCAGAGCCGAGGTTAAGTGGCAAAGTCCTTACATCGACGAGGATTCCCAACCGCTTTAGCCGTATGTATCTTCTTCATCCTTAAGCACAACCCCCACAACACCATTTTCATGAAGCTAACCACGATCAGATCAGATGGCAGGGTCGAAGCCCTTCTTGTCGCCAACTCTTGATCAGGGAGGAAAAGCCATCCAATGAGTTTCCGGAGCGTACCCAGCACCCGATACGGAATTTGTGGGTTGGATCAAGTCGGCCTCGACTGTTACAAAGAAGAGAGATATAGATGAATATGCGCACCTCATGTGGTCCCGGTGTCTAGGCCTCGCCTGGCTGGGGCTGCAGTGTTTTTGAGACTTTTTCCCGCGCACGTAGCTTCCATTGCTACCATTTTTATTTTTTTGGGTAGAAATTTCCGTAGAAAATAAGGATGAATTCCATAGATATGTATTGAGCTGAATGATTATTCACGACGGTCAACATATCAATGATCTTTCAAGTAACAAAGAGGCAAGGAGCACTGTACAAGGTGTGGCCTGGGCCAGAGAGGAGCCCAATGCGTTGGATATTCCATGACTCAAGCAGTACAATAAACAACACACACCGCTACGAGATATGTATGCTTGTGCAAATAGTCGACCCCCTACCGCGAATACGCATCCAAATTAGACTTCAAAACCTTTGATTATCAAAGCATGAATTCGCGATCGATTCTCACCAGTATCGAGGGAAATTTGGGTGTGTTTTGCCGGATTTGAGCCAGCGATCTACTGCTTCATGAATAATGTGTCCAAAATATCGAAAATCTACAATTCAGGACTGTCCTGATTATGCACCACTGCACCATCTAACCGCAGAGGGTAAGACTGAACACCTGTTCACGGTGCCCTCTACGAACCTGGCAGTGTAAATATCATAGCTATATAGCTGAATACAAATATGAATCAAAAAAAAACCTGGCAGTAAAACATTCTCCCAAAGCAAAGTTCAGTCAAATTTTGCAATACCGAACAAGTCTGCCCACGAGGCAATGATTCAGAATACTCCACTAAATCAATTTTTCATTCCCAGAGAGATAGACACCTACCTAAGCCTCATCAAGTCTACAAGTACGACCTATTACATCCTCGTTTCAATGACCACACTTGTCATCGACTATTCTCCAGCCTAAGCTGGCTACCAAGTACACGCCCTCACCGAAATTTACACTCGACGGAGGAAGCAAAGCGTGGCGCACAAATCTAGGAGATAGTTCTTTGGAATGAGCTTGGGAGGATTCAGGACAAGTTTATAAGATGACACGGAGGATGGATACAGTCTCGACGGGCGTGTGATTTCGAACTTTGACAAGGAGTTTTAAGAATTGAGCTTTGTGTGCTCCAATACTTCGCTTGCAAGAGTGCAGCTGACACTATAAACACCGCCATGGTTGGATGGTGCGACGGTACATCGTCTTGGCCGGTCTGCCAAGTAGAGTCTGGATAGCTTGGACACATATCCCACTAGAGACAGTGGATCGCTGGTTCAAACCCAGCAAAACACACCCACATTTCTCGCGGCGCTGGTATGCATGGATGACGAAGGCATGCTTGGATAAACAAAGGTTTTGAATTTCCCTTTGGTGGGTACTTACGGAGGAGGATCGACTGTTTGTGTAAACGAACATACCTCATAGTGGTATTTGCAAATGAAATCCAGAGTATGAGTGTCTCTAATGTCAAAAGAGTCATCCAATATGTATACATAGCACCGATAATGTGTCCTAGCTAGATAGCTGAATACACATCAAATAATTTAAAAAAAAGCACCTAACCATGAGCTTTTTGACTGTGCCACTTGCGCTCTCACAATGGCAGGCTTGGCTCGCACAATGCTCTTCAACTTGTAAAACTCTTTGTCAGAAGATCGAAATCCCACACCCGTGGAGATTGTATCAATCCCCGATATTATCTTGCACACTTGTCCCGGTTTCTATAGGTCCATTCGAAGGAGCTGTCTCTCTTTACCTGTGTGCCACGATTTTTGCCTTTGGATATTTCATATTGATTTTGACGAGTATTTTTTAGGCTAGCTCAGGCCAGAGAAAGCCGACAAGAGGTTTGTTCATGGAAACGAGGATGCACCGAGTCCCACTCGTAAAACTGATGCTTTGGTGTGGACCAATCTCGTTGGGAGGAAGAGATTTATTTGGTCAAGTGTCTTGAATTATTGCCTCGAGGGCCAACTTCTTTGGTATTGGGAAATTTGACAGAACTTAACTCTGAGAGTGTATTTCACTCCCAGATTCGTAGAGAAAACCGCGGGTACGTGTTCAGTCTCTGACATCTGATGTATTACAGCTATGGATAGAGTAGAGGAAGGAACATCTTTATCCCATCCAGTCACCATGTCCCCTCAGTGATGGGGCTTTAGTTGTAACTAGTGCCCGGTAGATATAAAAATAAGTAAACAAACAGCTTTATCCCAAGTTACTTTGTTATCTGGTCAGCTCCCAAGACACGGCCTATTCAACTATTTACCACACCAATCATCAGCCATCTCCCAGTACCAGATTATGACGCTCCGTATATCCGCAAGGAGGAAATTGAGTTATAATGTACAAAGCTCGGGTCTTGGCTCGTGGGGGACTTTTACTCTGATGGGGTCCTACCCCTTTAGGGAGAATAGACATCCTGGACCTGGAATAAGAGACAACGGTTCATCGATTGGCGCGCTGGAAGAGAAGTATTTCGAGAGATTTCTGATTTTCGGGGAGTCTGCGGTGTTTGTGGAGATCATGACTGCGACTTCGGGCGATTAGCCAGGAGGACTTCTATTTTCCTGAGTCTATAGCACTCTCCAGTACCCATGGTGGCACAAAAAAGTCGGGCTAAGCTAGAATATTCTGCAGCATGCTCTGTCTCAAGAAATTCTTTACATCACAACCCGACATTTAGGAGAGAGTTGGAGGAAAATTAGAAAGGCAGAGGGTGAATTTTCCGAAGTACACACAAGTCTGCAGCGCCCAGCCAGCTGGCCTCTTCTAACGCCGTAGAAGGGTGGCCATGTATTCGGATTTAGCCCTAATTTCGGTATTAGAAAAGCCCTGCACCCAGTGGTTTTTGCGACTTTCCTAGGCTGCTATACACCCGCAAAGTCCTTTACGACCAAAGACTCAGTGGGGAATTCATTTACTTCTATTCTATATATCCGCAAATCGCTATCATTTCGTTGGCCAGAGAGGAGAGATAATGAAGGCCGGAGGGCTCCTCTTAGTGTATGATCGATTGAGGACCTGTAAGGTGTGGTAAAGTTGGACTGAAGAGGATATACTACTGGCATAGTTATTCTTAGCCTGTATGTGTTTGTTATTCATTGTACTGCTTGAGTCATGGAATATCCAACGCATTGGGCTCCTCTCTGGCCCAGGCCACACCTTGTACAGTGCTCCTTGCCTCTTTGTTACTTGAAAGATCATTGATATGTTGACCGTCGTGAATAATCATTCAGCTCAATACATATCTATGGAATTCATCCTTATTTTCTACGGAAATTTCTACCCAAAAAAATAAAAATGGTAGCAATGGAAGCTACGTGCGCGGGAAAAAGTCTCAAAAACACTGCAGCCCCAGCCAGGCGAGGCCTAGACACCGGGACCACATGAGGTGCGCATATTCATCTATATCTCTCTTCTTTGTAACAGTCGAGGCCGACTTGATCCAATCCACAAATTCCGTATCGGGTGCTGGGTACGCTCCGGAAACTCATTGGATGGCTTTTCCTCCATGATCAAGGGTTGGTGACGAGAAGGGCTTCGACCCTGTCATCTGATCTGATCGTGGTTAGCTTGATGATAATGTTGCCAAGTGGGAATGTGCTGAGAAGGGCTTGTCCCTCAATATCTTTAAGAACAAATTTTGGCATATTTCAAAATTAAATTTATCAAATGTAATTAGAATCTTTGATTAGATTCACAAAGTCCTCCCTAGCCTTAAACTCAGTAGGGACTATAATAAAAATCTAATCTAATGTACTGAGGGATGAAGGCTATACAGACAACGAAAGCAAATTGGAGTCCTCATCGAGGTGTGCACGGAGGTCCTATTCAACCCCGGCTCTGCAGGCTTTACAGTGAGAGCTGTAGGGTTGTAGGGGTTAACATTGACAGGTGTCTAGAATAGTCTCCCCCCTTATTATCCTTAGCCGGCAGACAGAAGGATCTGCATCTCCTGTGATGACTTAGACTGAGAAAGTGCAATTCGGTGCGCACTCGATAGCTACATCCCAAACAATATTATTCGCCCTACAACGATGTTTTCTTCCCAAGCGCATTTTGGGGGACTATTCTGAAAATCTGTAAGTGGTGTCCCCTACGAACCTTCAGCTCTCACTGTAAAGCCTGCAGAGCCGAGATTGAGTAACACCTTATCAACTTTGAGCTGAGTTATCTCCCCCTCCGTCAAAGATACGCTTCCGATAGCACACAAGACGACCAAGAAGATGACAATGATGCTGGGAATAAGGAAAGATAATGCGGTACCAAACGCTACAACTCTAGTCAGAGAAGCCCTCGTTATATCACAACACGTGTTAACCACCGGCGGACGAAAAAAAAACCCACGAAAGCAAAGTAAAAGACCCTTCCGCCCTCAGGAAAAGCAGATTTCGACTCGTCTACATTATCGTCCCTACTAATCTTAACTTCCGAATCTACTAGCCAGGAGGGCATCTGAAATACACGAGTTACTCGACGACCCCACGTCCGTAACGACTTTTGGTTGCAAAGCTAGGCTCCTTCACGACTTTCACTCTCGACCAAGACTTTTCTGACGTCCTTTCACGAGCTTCAATTTGTCCTACGGCATATATCAGGTGAGGAGAAAGGAGGAGGCTAGGAAGGTTGAGAGAAACTCCTAGGTATACACAGGTCTTCTGCGCCCGCCTGGCCGGCCTCTTTGTCATAGGAGAGTCCCGCACCCAGTGGTTTTTGAGACTTTTCCCCGCAGCTACACACCCGCAAATGGCCATCGTTTTGTTGGCTGGAGAAGGGAGATAATGACGGGATAACGGCTCTTCTTAGTGTGTACTCGAATGAAGACCTGTGGGGGTATAATTGCTAGAAAGAAGTCGTGAAGGAGGCATAGGAGGGAGTACACTAGCCGAGGCATAGATACTCCCGGCCTGTAGGCAGAAAGGACCTACATGTCCTTACATAATTATATACTTTTTCGGACGATAAACACCCACCCACTGATTCCCGCGCGCATTATGTTTTTGTAAAAAATTAAGCCAACTCACGATATTCGACGTATTGTCTTCGTCGTCCTGTATCGTTATGTCGAGTTATCCGAGCAAAGATGAAGCGTCAAGGAATTATGTAGTACGAGAGAGCCACCTTAGGAGAGTGGTATTTTGACCAACGTCCACGTGCCTTTCATAAGCACTGAATTGCCTGGTCCGCTAATCGATACCATCGTCAGCTTCGTCAAGCAATAGTGTCAGTGTCTTTTAGCGATTGTTTTCAACATCTTAACGCGCCAACGTCTCACAATGCAAGCGCATATCGAAATGGCCTCCGCTTGAGCAGATCCTTTTCCAGTGACAACAAACTGATGAAGCCAAAGGAGTGCTAGTTACTGGTGATACCCTGCTCGTAGAGGCTTGCGAAATCTGGCCTCAAATTCCAGAGTACCTAAACAAACCAACACCTGAATTTTCCGTTGGGTGACTACAAAAGTTCAAATTTTGTGACGAAATCTCAAATCTAGTGCGCCATAATGAAGCAGCAAGCATGCTTGCTATCGCTATTGAAGAGATGAAGGCTATCTAGACTATCTGTAATTTTTACGACGAGGAGGATATCCATAACATGGATGAGACAGGCCTTTTTTAGCAACTATCTGTCAGTGCTGGGCTCAGAACACATGCTACTCCTAGTATCAAAAAATATAAGAGTCGTTCATCAAATGTCATCTGTATAAAGGTGACAGGCGATGATCGTTTCCCTCCGTGGGTTGTTGGGCATGCGGCATGCCCTCGTACTTTACATGGAGTTAATATTGAAGCTCTGCTCATGAGATAGAAATCAAACAAGAAGGCCTGGATGACAACAGATATTTTAAGAGAGTGCCTTATTACCTTCTATTAGCAAGAAAGAACCAGGTGACGAGTGCTGCTCCTTATTGACATCTTTTCAGCTCACGTAGCAGCTGTCGATATTACTATCACGCTTCCAAATATTTGAGTGCATCACCTGCTTAAAAGCTCTACAAGCGTCTATTAACTGCTTACTAGGGCATCATCCTGAACAATTAGTAAGTACTATGGCAAACACTGGCTAGGGTACCAGCTGAAGTTTTACAATCAAGAAGTCAATCTTTTTACGAAAATGAGTGTATATGAGGCTATTAGTTGGTCAGTCCGGATATGGAGATTTGAGGTTTCAAACAACACAATATATGACTGTTTTCGGAATTCAACTGTTGTACAGGCACAGACCCCAATACCAGTTGATCTTCCTATTGCTATTGAGTGGGTATTTGTAGCAGTAGCAAGCCGGATACATGACGCTATGAGCCTGTCAAATTTCCTCAACCCAGATGACGAGAATATTGTGGTGGAAGAGGAGGTCACGCTTAGGGATGTCATTCCAGCACAAACTATGCCACAGCTGGAGGAGGACGAGGATAAGGAGGAAGCTGGGCCACCTGCTATGATTGATCAAGCACTCAAGGGCCTCATGTGCCTGCTCAGCTTCAAGGAGCAGGAGCAAGGAGCCAGCTCATGGAGCTCGCGAGACTGATGCGTGTAGAAAGAAGCTTTCAGTAGCAGGTAGAGCAGAAAAAGAGGCAAGGCACATCAGATAATTGAACTACGTAACATACATGATAGAACTGTACCACATAATAACGATAGAAAATAGACTCCCAGAATCATATTGATGTAATGAGTTCACACTTTAGTGTGAATCAGGCTATGCATACTACCATCCTAGCGCAAGGGAGGCTTTAGATTCCGGTTAGGCCAGAGCTCGCAAGTGATCATCGCAATGCCTAGCATCGATAATGTTTCCGAGCGCGCGTGAAGAACTCGGCAAGTTTTAATCATACAACTTCGTGCTGGCTCACCAAAACTTGGTGAGTTAAAGGGGTGACTGCATTACATGACGAAATTTATCACATGGTGTCCCATAGCTCCGAACTACATTAATTCTTGTGCATAGCTTGAGACTAATATGTGAATTTTGAATCCTTTAAATGTTGGATATCTATGTATCTATGTTTGTCAATCATCAGTTACCCTGGGGTTCTCAGTACTATCAATATTGTATTCCTTCTTCAACCTATGACTGTATAGGACATACAAGTTCCCTCTACCAACAGGCCGAGAATACGTATGCAAGTAGTGTAACCCCTCTGTAGCCGTCTAAATAGTTGTTTGTGGTTGTATAGCAGTCAGAGAAAGCAGCAAAAATCGCTGGCTGTGAGGCTCTCATGATACGAAGAGGCCGGCCAGCTGGGCGCGGCAGGCTTGTACGTACTTCTAGAAACACACTCTCTGCCTTTCTAGCCTTCCTCCGGTTATCTCCCGAAGTTCGGGTTGAGATGAAAGAAAATTCTTGAAAGACAGGGAATATCGCGCGCTGGTCTAGCTACTTTGAGCCATCTGGAGCGCCAGGATTGCCGTTGTCTCAAAAGCAATAAAAGCCCTTGTGATTAAAATTAGGATCGATCCCAGCTCAGCAAGTTCTACGATCGGAGTTTCAGGTTCGTAGCGAATACCGCTAATAAATACAAATTGCTAATATCCTAGTGAATTCGGTTTTCTCAGACGTTGGTTTCTTGGCGCATGAGAGTTAGATTCCGGAATCTAGATATGGAAGCGACTGAAATGTTTGGGGAAGTCACAATGTTCATTTTAAGCAACATACAGCCAGTAGAGCTTGGCACGCTGTGACTATATCGTGGTTGTTAACCCCGATGATAGCCTGCAAGGCTGAGGCCTCGGCCGGAACCGAATATCAAACCTGACACCACACTATCCTTAATTAGGGTTTCCGATTTCTTGTATCAGAGCTAGTCATTATGATTATTGTAACAAAGCTAATACACAAGCCGCTTTTCAGAATTAGATAGAAGTGCTATTACAAAAGTGCAACTGCATTAATATTAGCCAACGGAGATTAAACGTCCCAACGCCAAACGCCTAATGTTCGGTGAACTAAAATGAAGTGGAAATCAAAATCGCTGTACTGTGCCCTAGATGCCATTACTATCGCGCCAACACATGAATGCGCGCATCTATTGAGGAATCGTGAGCAAAATCGTTAAATGCCAGCTCTACGGGACTGATCGCAGATGTTGACCACCTATTAGTAGATCGTTTCGAGTTATCTTGACACCTTAGGAGTTCTTCTTGCGCCAGGACTCATCGAGTTACTCCCACCAAGGGTGAGAGGAAACGTATTTTTCTCCTTCCGGGGTAGACGCGGCAGCTTACTGGGACTTCGTACGATAAGATCTCTTTTTAGTGATTCGATGTCTTTTCTTAAGCGCGCATTCTCCTCTTCAAGATCTGTTTTGGGACAACTATAGTTATTTTCTTTATTCTCATCTTCCAAAATGTTGAGTGTTGTTGGGAATGTTCGTGCGAAGATTTCCAGCTTGCGATCTAGGTGCTCGTCTTTTAAATCAGCCTCTAGAGCCCAGGTTGCCTTCCAGCGTTGGATTTCGGTCTCCATTCTATGCTCCATCTCTTGGAAGCACTCCTCGCGAACCCCAGCTTCAATTTCGGTGATTCGGCTGGATAGTGTCTCTAACCGTGTTTCTGATTTGAGGCGCCGCTCAGTTTCTGAACGAAGCTCAGCACGAAGGCCGTCAATTTCCTCACTCATTCGGGCAATTTCAAGGGCAGCTATCTCCATTGTTTCTCGATCACCTTCGCCAGGGTTAACTTTGCCCCATCCACGCATGGAGCCGCTATGGTGAGGGGTACTGGTCTGTACTTGAATGGTTGACGTTACAGAAGGAATACGTGGCACAGTTATTTCACGTGCGAGGGCAGAGTAGCGTAGGATTTGCGATGTAGCGTTGAAATCGCCAAGAGGATCGGCCGTTACAATCATGATAGCCTTCTGTGGGTTGCGCTGAGGGGAAGGCATAGGTTGCGTATTGGTCGTTGGAAAGCTATTGGAGAAGAGAAGCTCTGTTAATTTACACTGCCGAAAAGGAACAAGGTTAGGCTGTGTTTCTAGTTAGCAGCTTTTTGGAATGTGTGAGTTAAATTTCGTACTCTAGTGCCATTTCCGAGATATGACTGCATCTGCAGACATTGCCCAAGGTACATTAGACTCTCGTTGATTTTTCCAGCCTCAGCGAGGGTGGCTCCCTGTGTTTTCGCTTCTCGGGCCCGCTCACTACCTGCCAAGTCGACGATAGTTAGTGAGCTACCTTGCCACATTCCTGACAATCGATTTCGCATCCGCTTCTTGACCTCAACGGAAAAAAACCCGTGGGATCGAGAAGAGACGCTATTAGATCCGGTTCCTGCAACTCTTCGCTCGTACATCCCTGCTTCTAGTACCATGAGCGCCTCTTTCATAGTTCCACAAAGTACCTTTCGGAGTCCGGCTACGACTTTTCGGTCTGGTGAAAGCTCGGTGTGCTTATAGAGCAGCGGGCGCCGGCGATATTCCTTGGTAAATTTGCCTTGCGATGCCGGGGTCAGCAGATCAAATATTCGGTCGTTGTACACTTCATACATGGAGATCAGGATTGCATATTCGGCGTTCTTATCACAAGCTGCGGTAATATGGGAGATATCGGGTAGCTGAGGCGTACACTGAGGTGGATACGGTTTCCGTGGAGTGAAAATGAAGTTTGAGTCGCCCTAGCTGAAGGCTTAGCATTCTGTAAGATCATTTGTGACTGAGGTGAATTTTTGAGGTAAGTCATAACAGAGATTGGTAATCTCAAACTTCTATATATTGCTGGTTGAGGGATTCATTCTTTGATTTTTGGGCTCTCATTATCGTCTACAAAGTATAGATAATTGAGCCAAGAAAAAGAAAAAGGGATAAGCACATTAGAAAATTGAATAAATTACGAACAATAACTGGCGTTTGAGCTCTTGAGCCGGCACGAGACGCGTTGCTGGAGTCATTGAAGATGGCATCCAAGAAAGTTTGTGCCGGCAAAACCTGTGCCTCACTTGCATCAGAGGCACTAATAGTTGTGAGAATCGAATTGTCTTTCTCAGTTGCCAGGTTGTTCTCTGCGATTGCACGAAATAGCACATCGAGGGCCAGCTGGGTAAGACCGCGTTGGGAACGAGAGCCGAGAATGGTATGCGACTAAATTTTTCCCTCAGATTAGTTAGAGACACAACTTGCGTGAAGGATGATCTATTGACCTTTCCACTACCTGATACACCTAGCGTTGCTAAAAGTCCATCACGGCCATCGCCACCGTCTGCACCTAAGGTACCTTCGACTAGCGATATAAGCTGCGTCCCGTGAAAAATATCGAGCTGGCTCGAGTCCTCGTCGAAAATATCAGTAAAAACGAATTTCTCGACTGCTCGACGACGATTATCATTTGGTGGGTTAAGGGTAATCTGAGTAGACAGTCCATCACCTTCAGGTTCTTGTACTGTCAAAAACCTTTCCGTATAACCTGGGGATGTAGGCGAGAGCGGAGGTCTTAAACGCAAGTAAACTTGAAAGAGAGCTGACTGTGTTTTAGGCCGAGAGTCCATCGATTGAGGAGTTCTGTGGAGCATCTAGTTAGGATCTCTTAGAACGAAGTACCGAGCAAGCTCACACGGAATCAACGCTTGCTTGCTAATCAATATGTAATGCCTAAGTTGGCAGGGCAACGGACGGAAATACTTTCGTAGACTATTTCAGTGCATGACCTTTATGGAACTATGACAAAGAAGGTTAGGCATACTTTTGAGTAAATTACAGGCTAAGCTTGCGCCGATCTGATTAGAATTGATTTTGTAAGCAGGCGAAAGTCTACTATGCTGGGGTACAGTTCATAGGCAAGATGCAGATCAACAACAGGGATATGGAACTTACTAATTGCGCTCATAAGGGCATTGAAGAAGATTCTAGAATAGCCTCAAGTACTTGTTGGAAGTGACAAGGGATCATAGAGATGGGTATTAAAACCAGACTCTCAGCTACAGTTTCGTAAAATGAAATGGGCGCAATACTCATGCAACGAAAGTAGAAGTTGACTAAAAGAGTTTCATGTTCGGATTAAAGCTAAAAGTGTGGGAGATGTGCGCTACAAGTAAAGTGTAGGATGGCAAGACCGAACACCTGTACGCGATGTCCTCTACGAACCTGGGAGTGAAATATTCTCCCTGAGCCAAGTTCAGTCAAATTTCGCAATACCGAACATGTTGGCCCACGAGGCAATGATTCAAAGTACTCCACCACGTCAATCTTTCACTCCCAAAAAGATCGAATCCTACCTAAGCCTCATCAAGTCTACAAGTACGACCTAGTACATCCTCATTCCAATCACCACACCCCTCGTCGACTTTCTCTGGCCTCAGCCGGTCACCAAATACACGCCCACGCCGATATTTATACCTGACGGAGGAAGCAAAGCGTGGCGCACAAATCTGGAAGACAATTCCTTGGGATGGATGTGAGAGGGATCAGGACAAGTTAATAAGATGATGCAGAGGATTGGATACAGTCTCGATGTGCGTGGAATTTTGAATTTTGGAAAGGAGTTTTTACAAATTGAGCTTTGTGCGTGCCAAGGCATCGGTTGCGAGAGTGAAGGCGACACTATAAACTCCGCCATGGTCGGATGGTGCGACGGTACATCGTCTTGGCCGGTCTGCCAAGTAGAGTCTGGATAGATTGGACACATATCCCACTTGAGACAGTAGATCGCCGGTTCGAATTCGACAAAACACAACCACTTTTCTCGCGGCGCTGGTATGCATGGATGACGAAGGCATGCTTGGATAGCCAAAGGTTTTGAATTTCCCTTTGGTGGGTACTTACGGATGAGGGTTGACTGTTTGTGTAAGCGAACATACCTCATAGTGGTATTTGCAAATGAAATCCAGAGTATGAGTGTCTCTAACGTCAAAAGAGTCATCCAACATGTATACATAGCACCGGTCATGTGTTATATCTAGATAGCTGATTACACATCAAATGATTTAAAAAGAAAGTACGAGTGTAAGCGACACAGAGCCTAAGCCACAGCACAAACGAGTGTGGCGCCATCTAGGCATACAAAACCCCCAATAACCTCCTTGTGCCCACGCCATACAGCCGCTCATATATCCAATAGGTAGCCTGAAGCGCTACTATACTACCTACTCCAACCTCTTAAATACACATAAGATCGTGTCGGGAACCTAGACGAAATGGAGGGCCCGTACGTCCACAACACTCCGTGTCTCAATTTCCAACACTCTCGTAGTAGTATAAAAGAATGAAGGAGTAAGTTCTTTTGATGATCAATTGCCTTCTCGATCTAGCTCAGTTACATACGATCTCGTGACTTTCGCATAATTTTGCGGTGAGTTCTTACAGATTTGATTTAAATTCATTTCGTATCAGGCTTACGCCCTACACCCAATAGACGTGATACGGGTCTATGATCCCTCGGGACACACTACAATCTAAGTACATGGTTTTATTTTAATGTGTGTGTGTGTGTTTTATTGTACTACTTGAGTCTATGACTATCCAGCACATTGGGCTCCTCTCTGACCCAGGCCACACCTTGTACAGTGCTCCTATCCTCTTTTTTTTTTTTTTTTTTTTTTTGAATCATTTAATGTGTATTCAGCTATCTAGCTATGACACATGACCGGTGCTATGTATACATATTGGATGACTCTTTTGACATTAGAGACACTCATACTCTGGATTTCATTTGCAAATACCACTATGAGGTATGTTTGCTTACACAAACAGTCGACCCTCCTCCGTTAGTACCCACCAAAGGGAATTTAAAAACCTTTAGTTATCCAAGCATGCCTTCGTCATCTATGCATACCAGCGCCGCGAGAAAAGTGGTTGTGTTTTGCCGGATTCGAACCAGCGATCTGCTGTCTCAAGTGGGATATGTGTCCAAGCTATCCAGACTCTACTTGGCAGACCGGCCAAGACGATGTACCACCGCACCATCCAACCATGGCAGTTTTTATAGTGTCGCCTGCACTCTCGCAGCCGAAGACTTGGCACGCACAAAGCTCAATTTGTAAAAACTCCTTTCCAAAATTCAAAATTCCACGCACATCGAGACTGTATCCAATCCTCTGCATCATCTTATTAACTTGTCCTGATCCCTCTCACATCCATCCCAAGGAATTGTCTTCCAGATTTGTGCGCCACGCTTTGCTTCCTCCGTCGGGTGTAAATATCGGCGTGGGCGTGTATCTGGCGACCAGCTAAGGCCAGAGAAAGTCGATAAGAGGTGTGGTCATTGGGATTAGGATGTACTAGGTCGTACTTGTGAACTTGATGAGGTTTAGGTAGGAATCGATTTCGTTGGGAGTGAAAGATTGACATGGTGGAGTAATTTGAATCATTGCCTCGTCGGCCAACTTGTTCGGTATTGCGAAGTTTGGCTGAACTTGGCTCTGGGAGAATATTTCACTCCCAGGTTCGTAGAGGACACCGCGCACAGGTGTTCAGTCTTGCCCTCCGCTCCTATCCTCTTTTGTTACTTGAAAAATCATTGATATATTCCCCTTGATGAATAGCCATTCAGCTCAGTATTTACCCGTGGAATTCAGCCACCTTTTCCACGGAACCTTCTACCCAAAAAAGATAAAAATGGTAGCAATGGAAACTGCGTGCGCGGGAAAAAGTCTCAAAAAACCTGCAGGCCCAGCCAGGCGAGGCCTAGACACCAGGACCACATGAGGTGCGCATATTCATCCATATCTCCCTTCTTTGTAACAGTCGAGGCCGACTTGATCCAATCCACCATCTCCGTATCAGGTGCTGGGTACGCTCCGGAAACTCATTGGATGGCTTTTCCTCCGTGATCAAAGTTTGGTGATGAGTAGAGCTCCGACCCTACCATCTGATCTGATCGTGGTTAGCTTGATGATAATGGTGATAGGGGAATGTGTTGAGAGATGAAGACGATACAGACCGCGAAAGCGATTGGGAATCCTCGTCGAAGTGAGGACTTTGTTACTCAATCTCGGCTCTGCAGACTCTACAGTGAGAGCTGGAGGTTCGTAGGGGACACCACTGACAGGTGTTGAGAATAGTCCCCCTTTATTTATTTATATTAACGTCGTGCTAGCTCACAACACACACAATTTTTTGAAATTCGAATTTTCGAATCTTCACCTTTTTACCGTCTCCCTCCCTCACGCGCTCGTCGCATTCTATCAAAAAATTGTGATCGAGTCACTGGCATTTTCACCATGCCACCTGTTCGAAAAAAGCGTCCCAACGCCAAGTTGGACAACACGAGAGTCCACCCGAGGGCTCTCGAGCAATTACCTGGCCTTGCCCAGTCTCCAAAATGCGCGGAGACGAGCAAGGGCTCAATCAAAGGTAAGGAAAAAGCCCTCCCCGCCGTCACTGAACCCGATACTGACATGATCGGGTCAGTCGAAATTGTGGAGGAAATTCCTCAACCACCCTCCGTCCCCCACGGGATTGGAGAATCATCCAAACCACCTCCGACCGTGTCAAAACCGTCGGAAAACGCTGCACCCTTAGCAGCGTCAACATCAACGTCGCAGCCAAAAGCTGCCACGAAAGCAGAATGCCCTCCTGAGCTTCGACCAATCGTCGAGGCCGAACAACGACGCGCCGCCGAAACAGCGGCAAATCTGGCCCTCTGCTCCGCCGTCATCTCTGGCATCGAAGCCACCCTCCTCCATTTGACCAACGGGTCAAATAGACAATTGGTAGACTCCATGACAGTCTACCTACGCGCCGCCATTGCGCAATACATGGCCACAGGCCCGGCCTCCCTCCTCGCCCGGTGAACCCGATCCCAAGGGCTCCCAACGCTAGGAGTAACACAACTCCCACCGTCCCAGTTCTGCCCGTCAAAAGCACCTGGGCCACGGTGGCCAGAAACGGACTGCGACAGAAAGCAGTCCCAACTCCAAAGGCTGTGCCACAACCTGCGGCAAAAGCCCAACAAAAAGAAAACCCCAAGGCGAAAGTCGATAAGCGACTGTTCCTTCGCCTTGAAAAGGACCACCCGTGGCGAAAACTGTCCACAAGCAGCGTGAGATCTAAGTTAGAGTATACATTCAGCTACTTTAACCAAGAAATAGCCTCACTCCACCGAGTGATAACGGGCTTTGCTATGCTAGCAAAGAACGAAAAAAGGCGACAAGAGACTTTAGATGGCTCTTCGAAGCTGGCGAGTCAAAACGTCAAACTCGAGGCATCTTCGGATCTTGTTGCCTTACAGATACCGAACGTTCCTGTAAGTATAGTTACAGTGTGCGGCACCAGAGCGGTCGATGCTAGCTGGGTCTCTGCCAAGATTCTCGGTACGACCGGCGCGATTCCAATCCATGTCCGACCTCATGGGACATGTCGACTTGGGGCACCGAATCAAAACTGGCATGCCCTTTTCACGCGGGACAACGCCCCTCGTGCGGGCTTCCGCCTCTTCGACGAGTCTGGTATGGCAACCATTCACAAGCCTCGTCGCCAAATTGAACAGTGTAAACGCTGTTTAGGCTTCCACGCCACTCGTGGTTGCTCCCGCGCTCCAGCCTGCTGGAACTGCGGCTCCAACATACACTCGGAA